TGTCTGGGTGCGCTGCCACTCGGTCTAGGTCGGTCTGATAGTCCCATACCGAGGTTCAACCGGTGCAATTGAAATGACTCCCTGAATGCTTACTGGATACAATGAAACCCTTTCTGCTATTCTACGGAGGCACTACTAACGAACTTAGACTACCAGCCCTCTCATTAGCCACTGTTTTTGAAGCTGATCGGCCTCGACTACCTCAGGTGCTAGCCGGTTGCGCTCATCCGTGATCATTTTCTTGGTCTGGCTAAACACCCTTTCGCATTCAGAACTCATGCCAGGAATCGAGAATAGATCTAGCGCCATTCGATATAAAACTGGATATTCCAATTGATGTCGATTCCACCATTCAAGAGGGTCTGCAACATCGAGATCATGAGCGTAAATTGGCCGTGTCTGAAATATGTCAAGCTCGCTAACTGCCTTGACCTTCTTCCGCTGCGTATTCAAGGAGCGGATTGATCTTTTCCCAAATGAACTGTAGTCGTTAACGTCAGCTTCAATCTCATCGACTTCACCTTCCAAAAGCCCCGCTTGAGCTTGAGCTTCAACTTCAGCCTGTCGGGCGTATTCGCCAAACAGGCTACCCACAGCGGACTGCATGTCGTTATACCATTGCGGTCTATCCATCGCGGTTTTCCAGTGTCGCTCAAAGTAGTCATACCCATATGATGGGTGAAGGGCTAGCGCTGCTCGGTAGACAGGTGTACGGTCCGATTTGACGTAATAGTCTTCAAGCTTCGCCCATCCGCAGTCGATTCCCGACTTAAAATGGGAGGGCTCCTCGAACTGAGTTTCCTCCGCGGCCTGCTTGAATTTGACAAACAGGTAGTCCATTGTCTTGAGAGTCTCCCACACTGCACCATGCCCGCCCTCTACGCCCGGTTTACTAGCGTTGCCCTCCATAGTCTTCGTAAGGATGTAAAACGGCTTTAGGAAGTCGTGGAAGCGCTCTAGTTCAGCCTAGTCCGCAGCGTTGAGGAAATCCTTCGTTAAGTCACGGTGGACCGGATCATTTTTCGGTTTTTGCCAACGGGATTGATAGAGCTCGATAGCGCTGCGCAGCTCGAGTGCTAGGATAAGTCAATCTGGAGTCAGCAAATGTCCAACACAGGTGACAAGGGCAGAATGTCATACAACGTTTGATCATATTGTAAATTGAATTCCAGCGTGTCTTGCCATCAACAACGATCTCCAATGTAAATATGGCATCGTCCCCTGCGAGCTCGGTCTGGAAACGCCGAAGCGCCTGTCGTCTCTGGTCCGTCCGGCGGATGTAGGTGGCGAGGTTGTGGAGTCTGCCGATGGCCCCTTTCTTGGCCCAAATGTCAAAACTGAATTCATCCGTAGCCCCACGAAGCTCCGTCTCGAATTTGCTAACGTTTGAGCCGAAGATGACGGCTCGGACAACCAGGTTGATAATGTGGCCGATGCAACGTAAGCGGCGTCGGCCAACGTCCATTGGGAACCATCTTGCGAGCGCCTCTAGGCAGGTATCGTTGCTCTCAGCGTTATCAAGCATAAAGTAGCCAAGCTTGGAGCCCATTTCGTATTGGTCGATTACCCCCTTCACATAAGGGGCAATATTCTCACCGGAGTGTGGACCGACTAGGCGCGGCAGCCCAAGAAGGACATCACGCTTTTCGCCGTTGCTGTCAACGAAGTGGCCGACGATTCCGACGTAGTTGCACCCGTTAGAAGCAGTCCATAGGTCGAAGCTTAGGTGAACTGAGCTCGTCGCGTTCTTGACGAGATTGGCAATGATTTGCCGTCGGGATTCAAAGGTTTGGCGGATCCATGAACAAACTGTGGTGTGATGTTCCGGAAGTAGCTGACTTGCAAGCTCCCCACCATTCGCTATCAGCCACCGAAGGCGCTCGCTGGATGCCTGTCGGAAGGTGACATCTTCGACTATGATCCAGTCCACGAAGCGAGCTTTCCATGTTCCTTCGTCAAAATGTGAAGCAAGCTGCAAGCCAAGGCTGGCCTGCCGCGACAAAAGACGGGATAACGAGGAGCCAGACGTCGCCGCCAACGTAAACGGAGTCGCTAAGCTGGGATCGCTCTCCCCTGCCTCCGTGATTTGGTGCTGACGGAGCAGGTGCCTCGCGGCATGAGACGTCCCCGATGAGACGTATAGAGCTGTCGAATAGCTCTTCTTCACATGACAGATCCTGCAAAGCCAGTAACGTACCCCGTGATGCTCCAAATTGGCGCCATGTCGGTATATCCACGACTCTTTGATCTTGGTACCGATGACCCGCCTGTGACGGGGCCTCCTTTTGGCGCCCATAAGTCGTTTGCCACCGTGCCAGATATTCTCCCAATCGATTTCAAATTCGCATGGCGATGCATCTGTCTCGTCAGTTGTAGCCTCGCGTGAGGCGGGCGTGCCTTCAAAACCATCATCAGCCGGGATGGGAGGTGGGCGAGATGGAAGAGACTGCGGTGTTGACGACGTGTGGCTCGTAGTTCTGCTAGAAGACATGATAATGCAGCACGAATTGGCAATGGCTCAGAAAGATCGGCACAACACGAAAATTGACTGAGGCAAACGCGTCGTGTCACGCAGACGCGTCGTGTCATGCAACTTAAAGTGAAGGTAAGCTGGAGCTGACCAATGGCAGCCCTAGAAACCACCCCAACCCAGACCAACCCAGACCACCCAATCCGACCGGCAGCTCTGGTCTGTCGGTCTGATGAAATTTGCCGGTCTGTCGGTCTGCGGTTTGAAGATGGTCTGTCAGACGGTCTGTCAGACGGTCGGTCTATTAGCCACACTGAACAACGCCGAGATTTCGCTGAGAAATATCGTCATGAACCGGCTAGCTACTGGTATTCTTGGTTTTTCTCTGATGAGGTCTCAATTGACCGTACAGACGGCGATATAACCAAGTGGTGTTTTCACCGGGCAGTCAGTTTTATCGCTGCTTCTTTAGACGAAGTTTCTAACTGCAATACAGGGCGAAAGTCTTCACAGGGATAATGTCCAACCTCGTAGGACTCCCCTACGACATTCCAAGATGTTTTATGGTGGTTTCTCTATAGACAGACTATCAGAATTAGTCCCCCTTGACGGCGATCCATTGGCAAAGCGTGGAGGCGTCACAGGCCGGATTATCTTGGCCTGTCTTCGACAACAGCTTCCAGCGGTTTTGGAGGAGGGAATGACGCTACAGCATGATAACGGACCAACTTATCGAGCTAGAATTGTCCAGAACTGGCTCAGAATCTACTGTCGTTTAGAGGGCATCTTCATGGTGGACTGGCCGGCATATAGTCCTGATTTAAACCCTATTGAAAATCTCTGGAAGCTGTTAAAAGAGCGTATTTGCAAACGATATCCTGAGCTTGCGTCAATGCCCGTTACGGATGAAGCTATCGCGGCCTTGATTGAAGCCGCACAAGAGGTTTGGAATGACCTTGAACCTGAAGTGCTTGAAAACCTGATAAATTCGATGCCGAAACGCCTCGCTGCACTTCATCAGGCAAAAGGCTATTACAACAAGTATTGAGCTATATCACTAAAATCCTCTGATCCGGGGCTTCAATAAAATATATAATACATCTCAATTGGATGTAAATTGGCATCTCAATTGCCTCACAAAGTAATAGCATACGATCAAGGTGATTGGTGTTGACCCCACAATTGTCGGAACTTTTGCACGCAACTGTACGTGGTCAGCTGCCCGCTATTAAGCCCCTGTGTACGGAAGTCTGCCTTGCTTACTCCACCGAAAGGGCTGTTGTGGCTGCAGCCGGTCAAGCAAGCCGTTTTTAAGCCTTCGACGGGGTTTTCATCAAAACTGAAAACCTCAATAGACCGGGGTTTTTTTCTCCTTCCCCCGAGAGCTTCAGAAACTGCCCAAACCGGTCGGTAATACAAATGGTTTTGGGCCGGCTAGCTCTATCGCGCTATACAGTACATCTCTTTATCTTTTTATGTCGTTCTATCCCTCTTTTTTTTTTTTTTTTTTTTTTTAACTAGCTATTTTCCTATTTTCTTTTATTATTTCTTAGGTGTCTCTTTAGAAAAATCCCCTCTCCCATTGAACTTTCTTTTTCTGCTGCTGGCTGTTTTTTTCTTGCCAATCACCTTCGCCTCTTTCAATGAAATCCTCTTTCACTTGACTCTTTCCTTACCCCTGTCGACGCTATGTCGCTTACCCCGCATAGTATGCTGCCGCCGGTACTTCCCCCAGCCCACAGGGGTCTCCCACTTTGACTGAAAGAGGCTTTCAACCTCACCCCACTCTGGTCCCTCTCTCTAGCCAATCACAGCCTTAGATACTGACAGGGGTTTCCTCTTTTACTGAAAATGGAACGGACAATAGGGATGTAGAATTAACAAAAGAACAAATGAAATTGAACAGCCATGTGTTCGGGCATAGCTATTTAAGCTCATGTCGTTAGGATTGGAGTCCTTGATGCGACAAGCCGGATGTGAAACCGGAGACACGACTCTAAAGTACGGGCCGCGTTTTATATCCAGTCGCACGAACCTAGTGGTGATATGCGACACATATTTACTATTAGCAAGTTTCTAACTGCGTTGAAGGCATTTGGTTTGCGAAATTTTCTTGGTTAAGTACTAAGATATTTGGGACTCATCGGGCGTATATGAAACATATGAAACCGACTGAAACATATGAAACTGGGGGAGTTACTGTTTCATACGAATCCGGGTCCAGGGACTGTTTCATATGAAACTGAAACAGTATGAAACAACACGCGTGGCTATCCAGCACTGGATGAAAGTCCTACGATCTAAGTTTAGGACTTCAAACTTTAATCCTGAACCTTAATCCTGAAGTTGAGGGTGAACCCTCCAACATTCAACAGATTCGCTGTTAAGGCAGGCGACGTGAGCACTCCCATATAGTCTAAAGACTTACCCGCGAAGTGTGTAATGGATATCTTGAAGCACAGCTTGTCCTAGAATAGCAATCGCATTCAGAGAACTGATACAATATTGAACTTGGCTAGCGTAATAAAACTTAAAAGGGCCGCGGGCCTCGACGGCACGAAGCTTCACTGACTTTGTCAGTAACGTAACTACATATTGTCATAACCGTGTTGTTCAGCTTCATATCATCGTGCTTCCTCGTAGCGTGCTGAAACCAGAGCTTTACTCCCTCTAAAAGCAACTCTGACACCCAGTTTGTATCCACGATGAAATACTTCTTCTTCTCATAACTACCGAATGCAAGAGCTTTCATGTGAGACGCAGCCTCCGGAAGCTTCAAACGGGACACAGGGCGTATTGCTCTGTGCACTTGAACTAGTATGGATTCCAGTAGCACCCTGGCATTTATCTCCAGGATCAAGAAGTCAGAGTTGTCCGGACGGCCATTAGTGCGATGAAAGCAAAGAGTACCAAGACGGATATGTGCGAAACACCTTCTACTGACCGGTCGTGACCACTCGAATACTACCTTGAGCCTAGAATGGACACTGGCCCCAGATTTGAGGAACATATGTATAGTATTCAAGACTGTAAGTGCCTGAGTCGAAGTGAGTATATCTTCCGCTGTATCGGAAAGTTCCCCGTGTAGGTGTAAGAGATATTGAAGCCAAGGACTGCCGAATTTGCAAGTACTCGTCTCTAAGATCCCGGGCCAGTTTGGGTTGTAACCGTTGTCGAGCATGAACTGGACTATCTCGCGATCTATCAGCATGTGCCCGTCATAATCCGCGGGACGAAACTGGGTACAAGAATGATAAAAGATACAATAGGCAGTCTCATGTCTCTCAGAATCTGGAAGAGTTGCCAAATTTTCTTTTGCTAATGCAATGAAACCGGACCTCGCTGCATAACTCGAAATCTGGCCCCGGGGAGAACGAGAAACAATGAGATCGTCGCAATGGCCTGGTAGTGGTGGCACTATGGATCCTCGTTCATACATCCTCTGCGCAAGGTTCAATGTAGAGGTGAGAACTTCGTGCGGCAGGCTTGCTTCTCCCATCCACTTTCCCAACACATGAATCAAGTTATTGATTGAGCAATCGCTCATTCTCGACTCAATATTAAGCGAGGTGAAAAGTTCAAACCAGGCTAGGCGAGCTTTGGTTCTTCGAATCAAGAGCTCTTCCCGTGAGCAAGGGCAAGACTCCCAGAGCTTGCGGCCGTCCTCTGTATCGAGCAAAAACTCTTCGGCGCTCCTGTGAATGAATTCCAGTCTCATTTCCAAGCCATAAAGTATGGTCTCCAAGTCAGAATCGGCAGGGCTGGCTTGCATGGAGCCATTCAGTTCCAATAGCCCGGCACAACCAGCTTCTAGGGTATTCATCATGCGCAAGCCTTTCGTCACAAGATCTTGTACATTGATACTCTTCTGCTGGACGACATACTGATCCAATAGTCGACCATCCGTTGCCATCATGACTTCAAACAACAACATGGGTATGCTTTTTACAACAAAAACCAGATTGAAGACCAAGGATGCGGATTGCTGATATATGTCATGATCAGTAGCAGACCGCGTTACAATATCCCGGTATAGGTCCATAAGGTCTCGAGGCGTTGAATTCAATCGTCGATAAATATCCCTCTTTGAGTCGCCGTTGTTGATGCCTCGAATCAATGACCGCGTAACAAGTACTGCCCATAAGAAAACGCCCTGAGACATTTCCCCTATACGTCTTGCCAGATCCGAGACTTTGAGACCTTGAGGTTCCAGCAGGATGGAATCCCCTATGGAAACTTTACTGTATTGCTCTATATCTGGCCTCGTCAACTTATGGATCTCAAGACTAGGTTTGTCTTGGAGGTGAAGACGAAACAGACGCTCAGGTCGACTTGACACACAGATTTTGGTAGTAGGGGAGATAAGGGCTCCGAGAATGTGTAGCGTGTCGAGCGTATCCTGCTCCGGTGAAATCTCGTCCAGAGCATCGATGAAGATACATATGGGCTGCGACGAATGGTTGCGATAGTAGAGTAGCAGATCTCGAAGTTCGCGTTGGTCCCAATCACTTGGTGATTCTTTTCCATCTTTATCTCTAATAAGTCTCTGAAGAGAGCTATGTGAGATGCACTTGTCGTTCTTCAGGATCAGACGGAGCAATGAACAGAGAAGGCCCTTGAAAGAATGTTGCATCATACTGCCTGGCTTCCAGAAAAAGTGTGCAATGATGATTGCGTCTTTATTCCATTCCTTCAACGCATCTGGTGTCCTGGAATCTGATATGAGGAATTTCATGAGAGTACTCTTCCCAGAGCCCGGCTTCCCACTTATCCAGTAAACTGACCGATCCGACTTCAGCCAATCAATAAAGTTGTCCCAATGTCTCCATTGTCGGTGGCTTTGGGTGGAACCTTCGGTGATCTCAGATCTCTTATCTGATTCTGTTCCCCAATCTGTCTCCATGTCATCATCCGCTTCAGGGGATTCCTCTTTTCCAGACTTCTCGTCTGATGTTGTTTCCCAGCTCGCCTCATTATCTTCATCCTCTTCAAGGGATTCTTCTTGTCCGGACTCCTCGTCTGATGCTGTTTCCCACCCTGTTCCATTATCGTCATGCGCTTCAAGGGATCCTTCTTCTCCAGCCTCCGCATTTGATGCTGTTTCTGTTTCCCATTCAGTTTCCGAGTGTCTATTAGTATCAGAATATTGGTCTGAGAGCCAGTCCAAGTCTTGTTCCCCAGGATATTCGACTGATTCCTCGAAGATCCAATTAAATGTAGATGGAGCCTCTGATGGAATATTGTTTCTTCTTTCGTTCATGTCTGCATAGCTGAGACTTTTGATAATGCGTTTCCGAAACTGCTCAGGCTCGGATATAGATTCGGCACTTGAATCTTATGTCAACATTTAGGACTTCCTCATAAGTATAGGGCACTTACTGTCTTGTTGAATCCCAGTATCTAAGGAATCCTTTTGCATATGATGCTGCACAAGCAGCAGCATAAGGCTGCCAGTTCTTGCTCTTATGGCTGTCAGCGTAATCGCATACACTTTTGATTACAACGCATGGGAAGACTTCCCATACGCCGACACTCTCCATCTCGAATCCCAAAGCCTGCGTATCCTTCATGATATAATCACGATCTTTTGCAGACTTCATTACCGTATCCCCTGTCGCGAATGCACCAAAATGGACAAGTGGGTGAAGTTCCTCTCCCTGCCGATTGCCTCTTTGCAAACATTGGCTCGTGTCGCATCCCATCTGTTCGCAGCTGGAGGTAAGAGCTATGTCGCAAACTGGATCTGATTCATGGTGGCACGATGTACATGTCGTACACGCTAGCGAGTCTTGGTGTTTATGGCGGTAGTCAACTGGAAAAAGGAGATCTTTTGATCGTCCTGGGAAAGTGGCCGGCCTCTTTGCGTCCTGACATAGCTCATCCAGATATTTCCAACTTTCTGTCTTCAAACGCTCACTCTGCCTCGCTGTCATCAGTTTAGATAACAAATTTCTGATCTCAAGATTTGGCCTTCCAGGGATATCGTTCAAACTATCCTTTATCTCGAATTTATCCGGAAATCGACGACCAAAGTCATATTGAACAATACCGGTACTGATAACCACGTCTCCGAGACGTATTTGGCCTTTGCCTTTATTATAATAAGGCGCGCCGCCACATATACCGACAAGTAGCGCTAGCTTGATATTGGGAAAGCTCATGCGGCAAAAGGCAGCGATGTTGCCTGCAGAGACTTTACCCATCCCCGGTAGATGGGCCAATACCACATTGTGTTGCCCAATGACACCAATTGAATAAGCATTAGGGTCGCCTCTAGCCTTGCCGTAGGAAAAACCATCGTCTTCCCAGTGATGATCAAAAAGAGCGATGACGGCGTCAGCCTCGAGAGTCAGAGCACAGATGATAGCGACCTCAAAGTCATCCCGCTTTTTCGGCTGATAAGGTCTCCCCGGATACATGGTGGGCTCTTGCAATCCGCTGAGCTATGCGAATTCCAAGCTTGAGGGGCAATATGATATGTGAAGAGTGGGGAAGAATAAGACAATTAAACTCCGTCTAATAATAGCAGCTTAATAAGATAAATAGAGAAGCTTGAGTGTTTTAGTTAGAAATAGACTAAGGCAGTCAGGAGACGTCTAAAGTCTTAGCTACCTGGCTACTTAATTACTACGCAACTTGCTGCTGCCTAATCTGCTGCTGCCTAAGTGAATATCACCCGACCTATTGTAATAAAGCAAGATGCAAAAGTGGTACCCGTTATGCTGCATTACAGGTGTTGGCTGTAACCGAGCTTTCTCTCTCGCCTTATGATAAATGCCGGCGAGTTGCTTTATGTATGGCGACAGATAAGGTGGATGAAACCCGCAAGGTACGGCAGTTTTTTTTTAACTTAGATTGCTCAAAGTTATTAAACTATTGCTGCCTGGAGTTTAAACCTGCGGCAACGCTAACGCATCTATGCACTTTGCCAGCCGTATTGCGCATTGCCTCTGTCGAGCTGAGGTGGCTACCTGCAAGTTTGCAGGGGCATCCCACCGATTGTCATACTCGAAGGAGGCCCGAGCGTTGATCGTTGACCAACTCACCTTCTTTATATTTCAAGCGACATAATCTGACGTGGCATAGGGTCCGGGGAAGGGAGGTGATTCCTGTCAGACATTACGTGTATTCGGTTCATTGATGTGAATTGGTGTATTCATGTTGTGTGTTGTTAAACTCTGCCCCTTTAGGGCGTCGCCATTTTGGCGCGTAATCTGAAGCATCCCTGCTTGCACGTGATACCCTAGCACATATTCAACAATTCCGTTGTTGCAGCCTGGTGGATCTTGGCATTGTTGATCAGACCATTACTAAGTGGGACTCTGATCACAACAGTGTGTCCTCGATTACATGGGTAATCGCGGACACGCTGTTGTGATCAGAGCCCCACTTAGTTGGCCTGAGGCTGTAACGACGGAATCACCTCCCTTCCCCGGACCCTATGCCACGTCAGATTATGTCGCTTGAAACATAAAGAGGGTCATTTGGTCAACGATCAGCGCTCGGGCCTCCTTCGAGTATGACAATTGGTGGGATGCCCCTGCAAACTTGTAGGTAGCCACCTCGGCTCGACGGAGGCAATGCGCAATACGGCAGGCAAAGTGCATAGCTGCGTTAGCGTTGCCGCAGCTTCAAATTCAGGCAGCAATAGTTTAATAACTTTGAGCAATCTAAGTTAAAAAACTGCCATATCTTGCCGGTTTCATCCACCTTATCTATCGCCATATATAAAGCAACTCATCGGTATTTATCATAAGGCAAGAGAGGAAGCTCGGTTACAGCCAACACCTGCAGTGAAGCAGGGGGTTTTCTTCTTTAAGGGTGAATCGGCAATACAGATCATCTGGTCAAGACTCAGCGATCTCCGCGGAGCGTGCTGGTGTGCCCAACGACGACTTCATGCTGACATGGTGGGCAGATAAGCCTGTCACCTCACAACCGTGGAACGCACGACAGCCAATGATTGCCCATTCATGCCCCTGTTTTCGAATTGCTCACCTGCACTTGTTAGTTTGTGACAGGTGCCATTGCACGCCCGATGCCTCTGTGCATTAGCTACGTGGTCAGCTGCCCGCTATTAAGCCCCTGTGTACGGCGTAGCATTTGTCGAAGTCTGCCTTGCTTACTCCATCGAAAGGGCTGTTGTGGCTGCAGCCGGTCAAGCAAGCCGTTTTTGAGCCTTCGACAGGGTTTTCATCAGAACTGAAAACGTCAATAGACCGAGGTTTTTTTCTCTTTCCCCCGAGAGCTTTAGAAACTGCCCAAACCGGTCGGTAATACAAAGGGTTTTGGGCCGGCTAGCTCTATCGCGCTAGACAGTACCTCTCTTTATCTTTTTATCTCTTTCTATCCCTTTTTTTTTTTTTTTTTTTTTTACTTTTCCTAGCTATTTTCCTATTTTCTTTTACTATTTCTTAGGTGGGTTTTTTTAGAAAAATCTCCTCTCCTTTTGAATTTTCTTTTTCTGCTGCTGGCTGTTTTTTCTTTGCCAATCATCTTCGCCTCTTTCATGAAATTCTCTTTCGCTTGACTCTTTCCTTACCCCTGTCGACGCTATGTCGCTTACCCCGCATAGTATGCTGCGGGCCGGTACTTCTTCCAGCCCCACAGGGGTCTCCCCTTTGACTGAAAGAGGCTTTCTGCTTCATCCCACTCTGGTCCCTCTCTCTGGCCAATCATAGCCTTATATACTGACAGGGGTTTCCTCTTTTACTGAAAATGGGACGGACCATAAGGATGTAGCACTCTGATTTCCAGCATCAGCTTTGTTAGCCACATCTAACGGGCCATTCCTATCGCTATCATCTCGAACGATCCAGTAGCGCGCATGCCTTCCTCCCATCCACGTCTGTAGCCGCACCTTAGTCCACGGTTCCTCTGCTGTATTATGCCCTGCCTCTCTCCAATGACGGACAATATTATCGTATGCAACAGTAAGATATCGGCATATACAACAGCTATACCCACCTGAAATAACGAGCTCTTCGATTGCTGGGCCGTTATCTTCTGGTACTGCAATACGCTTCGAGTCAGCTAGTTCTAGTTCACCATAGTAGTCTATGATATCCTTGAGCACTTGTCCCTTGAGCTGATGCTGCCGTCGAAAATGTGACTCAATGCTGCTGCCGGGCCGAACGGCTGCTTGACATAGCCGGCAGATGAGTATTTGATAATCCTGATTGAGCTGTACGATGTCCTCCATTGTTGTTTGATGTCGCCTCTTTAATCTTGATTATAGAAAGTAAAGAGAAAGTAAAGAGAGAAGCAGTCTTGTTGTTTTTCTCTATTAATTACAGTCCCCTTTCCTCTGCATTATGCTAACCCCAAGCTCGTACTAGCTAACCCCAAGTGTGGGGTTGGGGTTATTTTAAGCCAATCAGCAACTCGGCCCAAGCCCAACCGATTCAAGTCCAAAATCTAAGCAAGATAACACAATTTATTAGACGATTACTGTTCAATCGTCTCTTAATAGTACCTAGGATTGTCATCTTCGTTCGCGTACGGCGGATCTAGCCATATAGGTCTTATCGTTAGAACGCTAGCCATTAGATTTGAATTGATGGAATAAGTGGACACGAATGCACCTATGGTAGCTGTAGTGGTCTGTGACGCGTATGATGCAGGCAATGTACTGTCAACAACGACGCGTAAATTTGGATCAAGAGCACATTCCCGAGCGAGTTCCAGTGTTTGTTTTGTACGGAGCGCCTCTTGTCGCTGTATCTGCCGGTCTGCTCTTTCCTGTGCGGTCAATGCTCGGCGACCCATCTTGATGAGCGAGTGAGCGTTGTTACGAATTGGCACGTGTCGCGATCTTCACGAGTTTTCTCGATCCGTTATTTTCTAGCGGATTTGCTGCTTTTTTTCTTTGGTGTATCATTTCATCCCCCTTTTCGCCCTTGAAAGGCTGTTGTGATTATTGGATACCACGTGCATTAGTGTGACTCTCTGAAATGAGTCGAAAGAACTATTTGTGAGAAGTACAGTGTTTATCATATAAGCCCTGTAGTTCTATGGCCTCTTATTGGATCGAGAAGCAAGAAGGTCGTAGTGGCGGTGATAGAGTTAACAAGGTTACGTCACACCTGGGACGGTTAATTGGTCCAAGGTCAAGATGCTGGTGGTTATGGCGGTTCCAACAATAAGGGCGCGTTTCAATTTGAGTAAAACAACTGAAAGGAACAAGGTGAGAATTGTATGGGCTTGGCGAGAGCAAGGCAATAACTAGCGAAGTGTATGTACCTTTAGCTTCAGAGCGCATTGGGCGTTGGCCTACCGGGCGTAATAGACTTGTATTATTATTTGAGTAAAACATAGCGATGAGGTTCGGGCTCATCGAGCTATTGGTCTCAAGATGACTTAGCACCAGAGATATCTAGAGTCATTGACAGGTCAAATCTGGAAAGTGTTCGATAGACACAAATGACATTATTGGCTTTGGTCAAGTTTCTGTTATTTTTTATCTTTCTTGTCAAGTAGTACAGCAAGATCATCCTTCAAGCTATACCTGTAATCTTATGATGTGAGCCGGAGGATCCTTATGATGAGCAATTATATCTACTTGGCCGCAATGCATTTACGCAACCTTGGTGTTAACCATGACATTGTCGTCCACTGAAAGGCGTGCAGGGTTTAGCAAGCCACAGCATTGTATCATTCGTCCGTAGGGACATGACAGGGTTCTCTCGATTTTATAATGCATCGTATTGGTTATCCATGGACCTGGCAAGGTTCTCTTCGTTTTATAATTCCTCTAATTCGTTCATTTCGCAAGCCACTTATCAAGGATCGAGACTACTCTACGATAGGTCAGCCTAGAATTCTATCTTCAATCGACGGAGGCCTCTTGTGTGTTTAAATAAAATTTTGGAGAGTAGTTCGGGTGAGCTCATTACGTTACAAGCTATCGATTGATCTACTTTTTGTTTCGTACGTTGACGTGGTTGATTTACCGGAATTTTTTCAATGTTTTGTTCAACATCCACGACGCAGCCTCAACCCTCGCCCTATACACATTACTGATATATATATATGGGGTAACCAAGCTATTCCTTTCTTGAATATTTCTGAGCCAAAACACTTTAAGCGGGACTGCACCATTCCGCTTTTGGTTTTGCTCTGAGCCAAGGCTTTGTAGTGGATCCGCGCTGCCGCAAAGTAGTTAAAAATATGGGACTGGTCTCAACGACCTACGAAAAATCTGTTTTAATCCCGGTATCACTTCCGTGCCGTTCTCTGAAAGTTCTGTTTTCTGAACGGCCGGTCATCCCGAGCCCCAACATTGCCATATGAGAATAGCGAAGAAATTACTAGCTCCAGTTTCCCTTTTGGGGCGGGGCTAGTGAAAATGTGGGACAGCTTATCTGCGCTAGTTAAATTGGGGAATCATCATGCTCTGTAAAAACTGTACTAATCCACAAGAGGAAATCGTCACTGTCGAGCGGTGACGGCATTGTTTCTTGAGTTTAGCAAGCAGCTACAACAGGAACATAGATCTAATCATTAATAAAAAATATCTTCATGTTTTTCAATGGCTAAGCTTCTGTAAAGAGTTATATAGGATAAGGAATCTTGGTTGTGGTCTTGAAAACCAAAGTGCTGATTCCCTCCTGGAGTATAAGACCTGAAAATATACTTATCATAATTCCTACACCTGAATTAGTTAATTAGCTTAAAGCTATACTTACTCTGTAGGTGTAAGTATAAATAAGACATTAGCTATACACAAGGTTTTAAGATGTCAAGTTGGATAGGGAACACAAGTGCAAAATAGTAGCAGCGGTTGTTTGACAGGTTACCTATATATATATATATTGAATCTTACGTTCTGAGGTACTTGGCAATCTTGAATCATAAATCCAACTCTTGGATGACCTTATTCAACATAGCAGGGTTTATACTATTGTAATGAAGCGCCGCTCTATGACATCCTCAAACCAATTATCAAGCTCCTTTAAGGACGAATAAGCATTATACAAGCAGTATACACCGATTCGCTCAAACACTTCGACCCGTTCAGTCTGTCGAAGAACTAGGCCGTGTGCTGAAGTGTTAGACCATACGTCAGATGTGGGGTCGACAAATCGGAGGCACCACGCCTGACTGCCTGCGAAACCGGCGTCATCTTGGTCAAGATGAACATGGCATTCGTACCGGTTAATAAGCCCTCCTGTAGCTTTGTGCTTGGTAGTTCCTTTCTCTGCCACTTCGATATATCTGAAGAGATTCGATCCTGGTCTCCACCTCCAGTTACAGTCCAACCTGAAGCGGGCCGGTTTGAGGTATCCGCATACCCTGATGTAACCCCCGCTGACTGCACCGTATGGGTCGGGAGAAGTCAAAGTGACATTTGCATCAATAATCTCGACATGGGACTCCAAATCGCTGCTCATTTCTATGCCAAAAAACACACTGCCTTGTATCGATGCCCAGGACCAGCTAGGGGCAATGTAGCTCCTCGGCTTGGTAACTTGACCCCTTGCACTTGCACGCCAAAGGAGGTCTCTAGTGAGATTCTGACGCCAAATGCCTGCAAGATACATATTTATTGACTGAGAGTTGGATAACTGAGAGTTGAATGCGTTCGCAACTCCCGAGATCGCGGGAAGCTTGTCCGAGGCAACGGTAAGCCTGCGCCCCGAGTACTCCTTGACAATGCGCCACCATTTGGTAAATAGGGAACGATCAGGGCTGGAGGGATATTTGAGCAAAGCCTTGTTGAACCAATTAAATAGATGAATTCCTGTGCGTCCGTCTTCTCTAAGGCTAAGTTGCTGGCACTGCCAGATCATCTGACGCTGTGAGAGATCCGAGGTATAACTGTAATGGACGACTCGCGGCGAAAGCAGGAGCTCTTGCAAGCACCAAGCTCTGCTGCTGACTATATTGTCTCCTGGATCAGGCTTAGGATAAGTGATTTGCAACGAATCCTTGTCCATATCGGAGAAGTCAAGATCGCAAGAAAGCTCTACAGACACATCGCGACGGAGAAGCATGCCTTGAGAACTATTCTCCGCCGACATTGCGGATAGATTCAAGATGGCTGACCTATAAATCTTGGCCATGTTCGCTGCCTCAGTCGCCCAGTCTTGACTGTCATCTTGAACAATGCAGAGTGAGTCGATCCACAAAAACTCAAATTCAAGAGTCCGTGTAATAGTTACGGCATCTTGAAACGTTTGAGGGAGATCTGAGAACAGAATCTCTGACTTCCTTTCCTCGAGTGTGCCTTTCGTAGTCTGGAATGGAACCAGCCCGCCCCAACAATGGCTCAGTGTGACATACGGGCCAAAGCCGCCATCACAGTACAGCCGAAGTGGATGATCTAGCTCTACACCTGGTTTTCCTACGTAAAGAACACGCTTTGGCAGTGCCGAATCCGCGTTTCCCAGACATTCTTTGTGTTGGTTAAAGCATTCGGCAATCCATGTCTTGAGCAGAGAGATGCTCTCATTCGAGGTTGGATCCACGGCTGTTGGGCGAGAATAGATCATTTGGCTTGCCTGGGTTCCTGTTTTCCTTAGTATCGGTGGATGTGATATATAAGGGACGAAGTAGTGTACAAACCTGGATAAGCTGAGATGCCAAGGCAGATTGGTTCCTGAGTAGTTCCGCAACTGAAGTAGATAGTACTTGGCTCGTCTACAGCCGGGATCCATAGTCGCAAGAGTGGGGTCTTGATATCTCTTTTGCTGCTACCGAGTATGCGTTTGTACTCCTCTTCGCCTCCATGGTGACGGCAGACCGCCCCCCATAATACAGTACATAGCCGGCACCCTGCAGAAGCTGACTGTTTCAAGATCTCCCACTGTTGGTAGTGGTGAAATCCGTTCGGCTTGTTACTATCCAAGTCATTTCTGCTCTGTGAAGTGGGAGGCTCTTGGAGTCGTTCAAGCGTAATCTGTGAGCACTTCCTACACAAAGACGTCGCATCTCGTTCTATCGAGTTGGGTAAGCAATTATATCCAGCCGATAAGATTGGTACTCACGGTGCAATGTTAGATCCGGTATAGTAGGCCCATCCATCTTTCAAACTAGGTTCAAACTTTTCCGAAATACAACAACAAACTCCCATAGCAATAGAGCAAACGCGAATTATTGTACTTGAGGTATGCAAAGGTTAGATTGTGCCAGCCCAGCATTAAAAAAATCTTCGGGATTTGTCATCACTAATGCATGTGGGAGGCCGACCAGATGCACGGTGAGCCAATGAAGGACTTACAAGTGGTCGAACATAACGGACAAATTAACTCAGGTAACAAGCGGATAAAAGGGAAGCCTGGTCTGCACGGTGTTCTTCCTTTAGCTAAAAGCTCAAGGACTCTGTTTGTTGATTTGAGTGCTAACTATCCACAGAGCTATCGTTGGTACCTCATGCTGAGCGGCTACGCGATAGAAATACCGCCTGATTTCTTCCCAAGAATTAAGACACAGTACGTCTGTATCTTGCGATCTTTTGAACGTCACCGAAATTTGTTCACATTGACGTTAATCAGGCTGCAGCAGAAAGACCTGAGGCCAGCGCCTGTGAAACATGGTCGGGTCCTAAAGCGGGGTTAGGCGACAAAGAGCAGTTGAGTACCCGTTGGCTCATGGGGCGAGGGCGCCAGGCGAGCCAACCTAGCAAGCTAGGTTGGGGTTGCGGGGTCAATTATTACGCCCACTCACGCAAGAATCGATACCCTTCTTCAAATCATATACTTAAAGGCTTAGGTGAGTGGCCCTGCTCGAATGATACTGAATTTTTGAGCGCGAGATGAGTTGGCTCCAAGCAATCGGGGATGTAGAATGGTAAAATAGCTGTGCAATTTCTCGCCCGAATCCTGTACGGCACCTGTTGAGCTGAGTTAATCGAATGCTATGCATCGGCTGCCTAGCCTATACTAAAGCGCCCCAGCGAATTAGAAGACCAAATGATCATCTTGGTGTTAATTGAGTTATGTTTCTTGGGACTATATACAACAAAAAAATGAAGTAACCCCGAAATCATGAAAACATACGTTCGGCACAACGACTCACTTCGTTGTGCAGGGGAGCCAAAGATGCGAAACAGACACCGTTAAATCCTGATTAGGTTAGTAAACTGACCGCGAAAATCGAAAAGCGTTAGCGTGTGACCGCTAAATTCTGGTTGGACAGAGAAAAATGCACTAAGAGCCAAATTGGCTAGCCTGCTGACCGCGAAATTCGAAATGCCAATTTTAGCTAACCCGGTGGCTTTGACTAGCGCCTCCAGCACGGGGTATAGAATCCAAAAGGGGAAGGTGCACGGGCCGCAAAAGTTGGTATTGGGCCCATTACCAGTGGTAATTAGTACAGTAGGTTCATCCTCCTTTTTGTTCTTGTCCTTGGCCATGCAACGCTTGCAAACGCCGTCTTTCAAGCCCATGTCAAACCATGTCTCCTGACAACGGGCGCAGTGTTCCATCCGGTCGTTTTCCAGCTCCGTCCAGAACGCCTCCAGGAGGTCCTTATCTTTATCAGACAACGGGCAATGCGACAGATCACGCGCCCAGTCCGGGTCAGGAAGTTCAAAATCTCGATGTTCTGGGCGTTCGATGGTCGGCTGCTGCAGCTGTGCGGGCGGACGGGGATTTCTTCCCCTTCGAGTTGGCCTCGGGTAAATAGAAAGACTCGATACCGGAGATTCGATCGGCGTCCCGAGTCGTACGCCTTCTTGAGAAGCAGCCGACGGACCTGGTCGGGGAGTAATCGGCGCGTCCGTTCGTGTTGACGTGGTGATTGGTGTGCCCAGTTGCAAGTCTATCAATGGCAATCCTTCTCGAAATATTGGGGATAACTCAGCTTGTTCTGCCGTACGCTTAGAGGCGCCTAAGGCTCGTCGATTCCTACAGTCTAGACAGTCGGTCGTAGGTCTTCCACATGCGAGTGACGACTTTGTCTTCGAAATGAATTGATCTGCTGGCTTCTCCTGCTTGCATTTCCTGCAAACGTTCATCGAAGGGATAGAATCAGCCATGACTGACTGTGTTGGATTGGAGGGTCCAACGACGGGATGGAAAGGATGAGGGCGTCGTTGGCAGGTCGACAACACTGTCATCCAATCGTTGAATGGAGACACACATCTGGCCAATCGGCGCCTAGTGGAGACACTCTTGGCCAATGGGAGTGGAGATTTAAAAGTTCAAGTTATCGTCGTAATAGAAGTCCTTCGGACTTAATAACTCACAAACGTGTCAGCGTAAGATATTACCTCAATAAGTGGAGGAAGCGGCAGCTTTACAACGAGCATCCGGTCAACAGGACACTTTATCGATCTTTTGAGCTTAACTTTGTTGAACTTGAAAAAACCGACTGGATGGCCGCAAAGCTATTGATGTTGTTTGGATATCTCGACCACCGCGATTTATGGCTCGACCTCTGCGTTAATGCCACCGACCGCACTTTTCCTGTGTGGCTTCGTGAAGTAGTGGCCGCCCAAGAGTTCAACCACCATTACGCCAGCCTGTGTAACTTATCCTTTGTCGAAGCCAAGCCCTGTGATGGAATGGGGGAACAAGTCTATGAGATTCATCCAGCTATCCACGAATATTCGCGGCGGAAAGCCAAAGCCAACGAAGCGGAGTACGTGAAAGCTGCTGTATCGCTCATCGCTGCAACAGTCCCACGGTCTGTCGAGAAGAACTTTCTGGAAACCGTCAAACGGTTGAAGCCGCACGCTGAGCAATGTATGATCCATATGGAACAAGACCGGGGCCGGACCGGCCTAGATCTGGCGGAGCTTGAGCGATTTGGAGATCTCTTTCGCCATTTGGGGCGTTACAAGGAAGCGTCTAGGTTATATAAGGGAGTTTTGAATATTCTTTATACGGAGAAAGACCCAGATGAGCTCACCGTTGGAATGATGAGTGGTATCGAAAATAATCTTGGCTTGATCTATCATGCTCGGCGAGAATACGATCTCGCCCTGCGAGTTTACGATCTGTCGTGTTCGAAAAGATTGCAGTTGATACCCGAGGACCACGATGCCTTGATGATGACACAGTACAACAAAGGACGGGCTTTTCTGATGCTCGGCAAGCTGGACGAGTCAATGCAGGCCCTGCTCGAGGCCGCCACCTACTTTCGTCAGCCGATGGTGTGGAATACTTTCCGAGATGTCATCGATTGTAACAATACAAGATATCAGATTTACTTTCGAATATTGAACGACATTGGGGAGATACATCTTAGGGAGAACAACGTGGAGCAGGCGGAACACAGCTTCCGGGAGGCATTCAACGGCCATGAGAAGTATTTTCATACGATGCATCCCGCAACTTTTGCTGTCCGGGTGAATATTGGCAGAGTATGCGTCGAGCGATCTCAATATACAACCGCAAACAAGATATTCGAGTACATCATTGCAACATACACGGAGTGGTGGGGAAGACACCATGCTGAGACTATGCGTGTAGTCGGTGAGCTGGCTGAGTCGCATATGCGACACGCTAAAATGAAGCGTCTGATGGGTGATGGAGCAGACTGGGAATTGAATCAGTCCATGCAATTGTGGACAGAAGTACTAAGCTTCTATGAGGAGAGTTATGGCTGTAACTCAGATACTGCGGCTAACTCTAGGTTAAAGTTACAACAACTGCAGTCACTTGGCAGTGGTGCCTCTAAGGACCTATATAGCGTGTATTACTTACCATACGCCTAGTAACTATTGACTAAATCAACTTTAGTAGAGTTAATGTTATTAAATTACCTAACGTACATGATAAGCGGGTGCAACAGACAAGCGAGTGCAACAAAAAATCCCATCTCAAATAGAAATAGCCATAAAAACACAACAGACTATTAATTAAGTAAATTAATCGCTATATTCTTCCAGAGACATAGCGACAACTATCTGACAGGTCCTTGCATTATGTCCTGTCTTGCCGCACGCTCTACAGCGCCTTTCCTTCCTTCGCGCAGGCCCTCCTTGACCACCACTTCTCGATGGTCCAGCCACCGCCTGCGCATCAGCATCCGTTTGATCAATTACTTGCCTTCCTTACTCTACTGTCATCACACCTCCTTTCTGTAACCGGGTTCTTTTTGCCCTACGCCGCCGGCTTAGTATCTCATTTGCCTGTTCAAGATCTTGGACCCTGGCCTCTAACAAGGCAACCTTATGCATAACTATCTTTGTCCCCTTAGAAGAAGACCTCAATGCTTCTAGAATCGACTCTGGAGAGCTACTTTTATGCCTTTTGATTCTCCTTTCAAGATATTCAAGCTGAGAGTCGGCCTCAAGGATAGTCTTTGGGGTCTTTGAGACCCAAGGGGTCGAGGGGCTAACTACCTCCTCCGCAGGCGTCGGAGTCCGCAGCTGCACATCGAGCTTCGAGATTACACTTTCTGGGTCGAGAGGAGCAAGTCCGGCTCCTCTAAAGGCTGCTTTAATATTTTTCTCTGTCATTGTGGCCTGGTAGGCGGTGTAAAAAGCCGGCAAGAACTCGGTTTTGGAAATGTGGGTTACAGAGCATCTGATCAAATGCTCGATTTCTCGCCCGTAAGCCTTCTTAAGCAGGCCAAAGCACCCGACATCAAGAGGCTGCAGCAGATGAGACGAATGAGGCGGTATACAAAGCGTGATGATTTTATTTGCCTTGCAATATCTCTCAAAGTCGACCGAGTGGTGACTTTGGTGTCCGTCGAGGATCAGGAGACGATAGCGATTCTTTGATTGCTTGGTAGTACACCGGTCGAAGTGCTGTAGCCACTCGAGGCCTATCTCGTTATCTGTCCAGCCATTAGGACTCGTCGCGATAGCCCAATCGCCCGGGAGGTTGCTTTCTCGGTACCAGTGGGCGAGGTGATATTGGCCCGCACCTATGATGAACGGCGGGATCGCTTGGCCCTCGGCATTGATCGCCTGAATGACTGTAACCCATTCCCGGTTTCCAGGCTGCACTGATTTTGGTCTTCCACGCCTTTCAGCACCTGTGACGACCATTCCGCTCGCAATAACGCCCATCATAAAGCCAGTCTCGTCAAAGTTATAGATTTCATCAGGTCGGATGCCATACTTCGCAATTACATTCGCTACGAGCCTAAACCAGTTGCGAATAATGATCAGATCTTCACATTTGGCTCTCTGGTAGTCATATTTACGGAAAAAATGCGTCTTGAGGTCTTTGTGTCGCTTGACGAAGTTAGAGGCCCAGCGCTTGCCGACAGGCGGCGTCTCGCGGTCGGCGAGCAATCGGTTAGCCATCTCCTCAACACAACGCAGTCGCGGGGGGAACCCTCGCGAATCCAGATCGAGAATGAACTGAACTATGATCTGTTCCTCTAGATCAGATAGTTTGCGTGATTTTGGGATAGAATCACGCGTAGAAAGGATACCCTTCTGTCGGCGATATAAAGTCCAATAACGGACCTGGTAGATGCCTGCGGCGCGTCGGAGACTTAATTTTGGGTCATTTTGAAGGGCACGAAGTGCAAGAAGAATCCTAGCCTAAATATTTGGGTCTGACATATTTGGTGGTTGAAAATTAATTGATTAAGTTGAGAAGATGTAAATTGCGGGATTTTTTGTTGCACTCGCTTGTCTGTTGCACCCGCTTATCATGTACGTTAGCTAACCCTTCAGTTTATAAAAGTTAGCCTTACTTCCGTGTATTAGCGGAAGTTCAATTAAGGGCTTTAAAAAAGTCAACCTTACTTCCGTTTATTAGCGGAGGTCACAGTCCAGTGTAGAAGGCTGGGTATATGTGACGGTCGTGTTTTTCCAAAGGATAAACTCGTCCGCACTGGTTGTATATTAGTAGAATCTGTAAGTCATAGACTACTCGAAGACATGTGGAGTGTAAACCGCTCCATGGATGAATCAACAAAGTTAGCACTAAGATTCATTTACCAAGGGTGCGAGAGCGATGGGCTTCTCAAGGCGTCCTACAAACACACCGGTGGCCGCAACTGCCGTGGCTGCAATCCCCACGAGGAACTCCAGCGCGACGGCAGGGAATTAACCGACCCAGTCTATCCAATAAGAAAAGAAGGCATTGTCAAAGTTTCGTTGTCATTTAATAACTAGCGTACAATGCAGGTGACAAAAACAAACGGGTTCAGCTGAGACGAGCTAATCCTAAACGAGGCCAGGTTGTGGTGGCTTGTTTCATGGAGGCCTGGACTTTCAGCTCGCCTTTCCCCGCTTCGCAAGGCTTAACTTGACTCTTGCCAACATATGGGGTTTGTGACTTTGCTTGCTTCTCTGGATGTTAATGTAACATCCGGTCCGTCATCAACGGTATTGATCTATAATTTCAGTCTTTTCAAAGAGCATACCGGCAAGCCGCTTCACAAGCATCTTGCATAGAGCCCCCTCACGACGTCGACGATGCCGCCACCTCCGCTGGCAACTCTGCCACCAGTCACGCCGGACGGGAATACATCATGTGCTTTCGATAGCCTACCCGAGCTTGTTAAGCTCGTCGTGGAAGATTGGGCCGGTTACAACATCTCGCTGCTGGTGGACACATGCCCAGGGGCGTGTGACCTGGTCTACGGCTCGGGGAACCCCGATATATCCGGCATAGGTGTGCGTCGGCCACGGATTACAAACCTCATTCTTTAGAAGGTATAGGAATTCTGATGTAGTTTTGCAGGCCATGTCCTCATATGCTATTCAGGGAATCAGCTCCCTCCTCTTTGGACCCATTCTCGGCATTCTAGCGCTGTACGCCAGCTCGGATCCCTATTCTGACTCGTTTTTCACGCTCCCGACCAAGCTGTGGGTGTCCGAGGCTTTCGCGCCTGTCGCCAGAAGCATACACCAGACAAACGTAATTGTCGCCTTCTCCGTGCTCCTCACGACGCTTATACGGGTCCGCCAGGCCAGCCCCGTGTCGGAACGTGAATTTCTCCAGCATCTAGCTGGCTACGAGGTCCTAGTATCTGTCATTTCTACCTTGTCCTACCTACCAATACATGAGTCGTCGAAGCTGAGAAAGGCGGTCCTGTGTTGCTACGTGCTTGGCACCATTATTATGGTCTTCATCGCCCGTGATTGGACGAGTCTCAACGCCGAGCCGTACGCCTCAGCATATGCGGCCATGACCAAGTATTGTGTTGAGCAGTACGACTGGCCGGTCCCAGAGATTAGCTTCATTCCTCCTACCACGAGCTCCGAGCTAGCCACACCTAGGGAGGAGCTGGTGAAGCTCAGAACGATGGACGTTCTGTTAATGCTATCGCCAATCTTTTTGCCAATCTTTTTGCTAACCTTAGGGCCAATCGTAGTGCCAATCTCTGTTTTAGTCGTCCTCCTTCTTTTGATCGTCGCGTTTGTCATCGCTTTCGTCGCTGCCGCCATACCAGTCTTCATATTTTTCGGCGCTATTCATGTTAGTAAATGGGCGATTAGGCATGTGTTCACTCGTCCGTACGAGGCAGTATGTCGCGGACTACATGTCGGTCCTAAAAGACTGGGTGCAGTTCTCATAATTGCAGGAGTTACTGCCCTGGGCGCCACATTGGTCAGGATCACCTTTGAGGCGATGCTGGTCCAGCGTCAGGAACTGCGTGCAGCAAGCGGCAACGCCTATCAGGACAATGAGTGTAAGCACCCTCACACTTGCATATGGCTGTTCTATATTATTAACCGGCGATACAGGGGGCTTCGGGCAGGTTGCTGCTGTCCTCGCGTGGTTCCCCGCGGTTCAAGACACGCTTCTTGCCGTCTTCGGTACGCTTCCAAATTTGCCCCCTACGACACACCCAACCTTGATAGAACTAATCGAGTATCCCAAGAGGCCATTCGTATCCACTACCACCGTGTCAGGATCCTAAGAATACACCGTTCAAATCGTTCAGGATCGCACAATTTCGAGCGGCAATCCCTCCTAGAGCACCACAAAACCACATAGGAGATCACACAATCAGATGGATAAGACCTTACTTCATCTTCCAAAGAGCTAGCAAATGGTTAAAACCAGGTATCAGCGCATTCTACTATATCAGGCTCACTCCACAAAATACAGATATCAAAATGTCAGTCTTGTCATCAGAGGACTTATACAATCGACGCTATCTGACATTCCAGATACATTTGTTTATAATCTAGCTCAGTTAGCATACTTTACTACCTACGACACGAAATGTGCACGTGAAGGCCCTACCATCCAGGACCACCTAATGCATAACCCCACCTAATGCATAACCAAAATTTCGCTCCTCCCATACAAAATCCAAATTTTCAATTGCATTGTATTCGGCCAGGCATGAAGATACTCGCGAACGAAGACCTGCACTATATTGCTTTTTTCATCGAATTTTCATATCGGCTTGAATTTTTCCCGTTCCGCCCTGTAGCCTGGTTCTCTAGCCCTTTGAATTTTGTCGCATTTCATCTCATGTACCCTAGGCGACTCCATCCACTCAAGCCGAACTTTCACCTAATTTACTCGCCACAACTCCTTCCGTAATGGTTCGCCGTAATTATACCGAAGATGACGTAGCTGAGGCTATATTCGACACCACCGATAGAGGCCTCTCACAGAATGAGGCGGCCCAGAAACGTGGAGTACCTCAGTGGACCATTTCGAGACGACTTTCCGGTCAAGCAAGCAGGAATGAACGTATCCAGGCCCACCAGCGTATTCCAAAGAGCCAGGAGGAGACGCTTATTCGTTGGGTGCTGCGACAAGAGTCTCTGGGCTATGCTCCCTCGCACAGCCAGCTCCGCGCCTGTGTCGAGGCCATCCTTCAACAACAAGGCGATAACAAACCTTTAGGCAAGCACTGGACCACCAGGTTCGTCAAACGTCACCCAAAACTATCTACCAAGATTGGAAAACGTCAAGAAGCCGCCAGATTTGACGGCTTTACTCCGAAGGCGGTCAATTGGTACTTCGATATCAGGGAGAACGAGTACGGCTGGATCAAGCCTGAGAACACAGTTAACGTGGACGAGGGCGGCATAATGGTGGGTTTCGGTAAGTCTTCTATAAGTACTCTATAGGCTTTTATAGGGCATAGCTAATTGGTTGTCCATGAGGCCTGGACAGCCTCGTGATCGGGAGCTCTGACCCGAAGAAGAAGGCGATGTTGAAAGGCGTTCAGTCGCGCACCTGGACTTCGTTTATTGAGGCTGTCACCGCAACTGGCCGTGCTTTGAAACCGGGAATTATCTTTAAAGGAAAAGAGCTGCAGAAGCAGTGGTTCCTTAACGAATTCGAATTAATAGCGGACTGGCACTACATCACATCACCGAACGGCTGGACAGACAACCATATTGCTCTCGAGTGGTTGAAGGACGTTTATCTACCACAAACGGAGCCTCGCGATGCATCGGATGCGAGACTTATTATCCTTGACGGTCACGGGAGCCATGCGCAGGTGAGCATTTCGGTGTTTTCGCCGCTGAGTCACCCGCTTTAGGGTCGCTGACGAGCAGTCAGGACGAGTGGATGGCTACGTGCTTTCTGAACAACGTCTACTGCTGTTACTTACCAGCACATTGTTCCCATGGTCTGCAGCCATTAGATAATGGAATTTTTAATGTTATCAAAGGTGCGTACCGGAAAGAACTCCAAAAGCTGGCTAGTTTGACCGATTCTGCGCCGGTTGACAAAGTCAACTTTATCCGGGCATACGCGAAAGCCAGGGAGGCGGGCATGAGGAAAGATATTATCTTATCCGGCTGGAGGTTTACTGGAAATTGGCCAATAAATCGGTATAAAGCTCTAGCACATCCGGAAATTCAACCGGACAAAGAAAAATTGTTGGAAGAGTTCAAGACGCCGAGCCCTCCTCAACTGCACTCAGATGATACGCCGAAAACGAGCCGTCAAGTGAGGGAAATGGCCAAACACCGAAGCCGCCCGACCAGGCGGAAGTACAGTAAGATCGCAAAGGGGCTGGAAGCTTTAGAGATGAAGGTGGCCGTTCAGAATGCGCGGATTACTGGCCTCGAGGAGCAGATGGCCCAGGTGCGGCGAGGGAAGAAAAGAAAGGCGGTACCAAACCCGAACCGACGATTCATGGCTCTGTCGGAGAATCTAGCGGCTGGAGAAGCTCTCCCTGACTCAAAAGAGGCAGAAATAGAGGTGGATGTGGATGAGGAGGTCGAGTCGGTGATTGAGGTGGGTGTCAGGTCAGAGGACGAAAGTGATGACTTTATGGCCGTAACAAAGCACTGCCAGCGCACACGGAGCGGTCGGGAGGTCAAAAAACCACGCAGACAGTAAAAATTGAGCAATTTTCTAGAAACTTTCTCCAAAGCCTCATTTATTAATTGAGAATCGGGCCTGTATTTGTGGACATCAAAATTTGGATTTTGTATGGGAGGAGCGAAATTTTGGTTATGCATTAGGTGGGGTTATGCATTAGGTGGTCCTGGATGGTATTGTTCATGTTGTTATATTCCTTTTCTAGAATTCTGTTGGTAGGTTGGCGGCTTCGATGTGGCCGGTTTGGCGAGTCTGATGGTGAAGCGACAATTGAATCAAGCGCAGGCGTCGAAAGGTTCACCGAGGCAGAACCCTGCCTAGTAGTGTTTGGCTCGCTAGAGGAAGACGTTGAGGCTGAGGCAGGGAAAGGTTGAGTGACAGTGCTGCAACTGTCAGGCGTAGAGGAAAGGGTCGGGGCCGGCTGCAGCACACGCTGCCTCTTTGTTGGCGTCTGGGCATGGTCAGGATAGTGCCGCTTTAGCGGTGGTGTATCGGGCTGGCCTGAGGATGAAGTTGGAGGACTCGGTGGAAGAGGGCTAGGTGTAGCCAGTGAATAGCAGGCAGCGCGTATATCATGGAAAGCAGAGGTAGTCGAGGATGTTTGCCGTTTTGGTGGCGCTGAGAGAGGCAAGACCGGTTGAGTTGTAGGGGTGGTGGTCTTGTCGAGAAAAGTCCATGAATCGGGAACGACAATAAAGACATAGTCTCTTTGGAACCCTGGCGGATGGACCATAACGCGATGATCAAGCAGGCCAGCGACTTTCCCTGTGCAGGTGAATTGGTCGTTAGGCTGGAACTGGGAATCTCGCCTCTCGGTCATTTTCTTGCACAGGATGGCCCAGGGATTCGTGTGAATGGGAAAGATGACGAAGACCTGGAAAGGGTGGAAGCCTCTGAATGGAGTCTTGTCGGGGTTCCCAGGACCAAGATAAGTGGAAAGTTGGATGAAGCCGCAGCACTTCAGTTGGGTGGCGTCCAGACCTGGGAGGAGGTCCTGTCGCAGCAAGGAGTGACCAGGGCCGGTGACGGGGCCAGCGAAGGAAACGATGGGCGGGACACAGGGGAAGCTGTCCATAGAGGCGAAGAGCCTGGGAAGCACGCTTTGGGCATATATCAGACGAGTTCGTTCGAGGATGTGCATATGGGGAGGGGTGTGCGTTATGACCTACGGCTGATAGCCTTGATCACGGACGATGAGGGCGGGCATGGTGTAGAGAAGGGTGTGGCCTGCATCCGATTCTAAACCGTCATGCTGCTCAACCTCCCACGCAAGTGCGTAGGGGTGGACGCGGCCATTCATGAAGAACCACTCTTCGATCCATTCTGAGGCAACAATAGGTTGATTGTAAATCGAGAGATTGAGACTGAAGAAGATGGATGTTGACGAGTCGTCAACGTCGGACCGCAAGGGCGCATATTCCGCAGCCAATAACCACGAGGGGGGAGGCAAGAAGATGCGGGCGAGCGTTTCGGCATTGAGGCCCTTGATGCGATGCTGATCCTGGTGAGCAAATCTGGAGGGGCAGTCTGGTTGGGCGAAGAACATCATAGACATATCACCGCCAGTGCCCCTTTGGGTGTCGAGCGGCTTTCGAAGGTGGGGCGAAGCATGGGCGACGGGCGAAGAGGAAGACATGATATGTTCCACATAGATTGAATGACTGACGTGGCTATAAGTGGGGGATTAAACCGCAGCTGTCGCGCGGCACGGATATATGGTTAACTAACGACTAGGCAGAAGATCCCTCAGTGATTCAGGTGAGGAATGACTCTTCGTTTCCGCCAGAAAGAGTGGTGAACCAGGCTATTCTATATCCTAAACGATATCCGTTCGATACCGCACTATCTCCGTGTTGAGACGGATATATATATATATATAGTAAACTAGGCTGTTCTATATCTTAGACGATATCCGTTCGATACCGGACTGTTCCCGTGTTGAGACGGTGAGTGACGCAACGGCTCCCGAGCTCAATGGGGCTGTTATATATAGATGATATCTGTTTACGGGACTGTTCCGTGTTGAGACGGTGAGTGATGTAATGGCTCCCGAGCTCCGTGATCTTGACAGGAGCTATGTATTGCGCGAAACGGCAACACACAGCTCCTGCGACCGCCCTCCCCAAAATCACGGAGGGACGCGGAGGAGAGTACAGTATTGGAATGGCCGCTTTTGACAAAGTTGCGGTGACGAAATGCTTGCGTGGACAGGCCGAGATTGGGACAATGGACGCATAGAGGCAGGGCAATGGGGTTTCAAAGGACTGTTAGTGGCTATTTAGGTACTGCAGGAAAATAGGTTGTAGAAACGACGACCGCGGCTACGGGGACAGTCGGCGGTGGGAAGTGGCCCGTATCCAAGGAGCCGCGTTGTCAACAAGCGGGATTGCTCAATTGAAGTAGCGTGGAGTTCCCGACGTTGAGGCAGCAGCAGCAGCAGCATGGTGGAGAATCCTGGCCGGGAAGTGCACATGTTGGGTGGAGAGGGCGAAGTAGTCACGGCAGGAGCGGGCCTTGATGTGGTAGGAGGCGGTACCGAGGGGAACTATAATGCGCGGGACGATAAGCCAAGATCGCCGTCAAGCTATGGCAGTCTGGCAAAAGCGAACCCCATGTTCCGACCTATCCAACCTAAGCAGTCAGCCGTCAAAGAGATCTCACGAAGGGAGCAAGCGGAAGCCATTGCACGGTTACTGCCCAAGAGGCGTCGGCGAGGCGGTCGGTTGCCAAAGAGAAGGCCAGACACAAGCGGTGCCTCCAATACAGGAGGTTCGGGACAGTATCCAGCATCGACTCGCGTACAACATGATGCTGCGGCCGAGCCAGCGGACGCTTCGCTGAGCGGACAGAGTCTGCAGCCAAGGGTGGTGGGTGGCTCATCTCGGGTGGCGGTTGCCGAGCCTGTGCTGTTTCATCGGCACGTTTTGCCCGAGGAGAGTCGACGAGGAGATGAAGATGGGGATGGTACGGCTGCGGTTGCTCAACGAAAGCGCCGAGGGGGAAGACCGGTAACCAGGATAATGCTTCGGACTGAAGATGTTCACCAGCGCCCCACGCGGCCTATCCAGCCTAGAGAGAAAGAGGGTATAGAAGAAGATGCGCATTTAGTCGGATGGTCGTCGCCAAGGCTACCACATCAGACTGCTTGTGAAGAAGCAGATCAGCCACGGAGAGACGATGCACAGAGAGACGATGCCACAGATCCGAGGCAGCTCAGGGGGCAGGGAAAGAGGACCAGCCACCTTAGCGGAGACCAGCCTCTGAGAAAACAGATTCGATTCGGAATGCGCAGACAGAGAAGACGAGATCTTCAAGCTGAGGACCTCGCCAGTGTGCTGGCCTTCTTAGAGGAAGAGTTTGCCGTAAAAGAAAGGTTGTCCAACGAGCAGACGTGGTGTGCGCCCATACCGCACGAGAGAAAGGTGTCGACCGTGCAAGACTTCTATAGAGCGTTCCACGATGCGAACGCGTTACCAATATGGACTTGCACGTTGTGCTACCGCAAGCGCACGAAAAGTGAGTTAAGAGAGGTAACATGGAACGAATGGGCGTCGAGCTGCGTCGAAAAGGGCTCTCGCTCGCCATTTTCATGTCAGAGGTGCTTCTCCGTGGGCAAGGCGATCTCGGGCTGTGTGGAGTGTGTACGTGGTTTGAGGCGGGGTGCCCTGTCGCCCGCGGCTCAGCTTCACAGACGTATTGGGTGCGAACACATGTTTCCCGATGAGCTCAAGGACCTCACACCGGTTGAGGAGAAGCTCATCGCGATGAATTCGTGTTATGGGTTTGTCACCAGGTACAGCATCCCAAGCAGCCAGAAGCAGACCGCAAGGTACCCGAAGCATATCAAGGGCCACATTACGGTGTTTCCGAATAACGTGCAGGAGCTGGCCACGAAAGTGCTTCCTCATCCGCTCGTGCAAGTCATGGAAGAGATCCATGTCTGGTGGCAGGGTGCGGAGAAGCCAGCACCAAGCGACTTGTCAGGCCTATTGTCAGTGAGGCGACGAGTCGTTGAGAGGGCTCTTGTGTGGCTTAGGAAGAACAATCCACATTACGCCGGGATCGAGATTGATGTGGCTGAGATGGAGAGCTGGGGCGCGCCGCCGCATGGGGTGCCGTCGGCGGTGTATGATTGCATGGAGCGGAACGAGCCAACGGCATGGGAGAAGACGCGAACGGCGCAAGTTGTTCCCCCCACGGAGCGCGGCATACCATGCAGTACCCACCTACCGGCAAGCAAAAAAAAAGTTTCCCCATACAAACTGCTATTTTTCAACCCCCTCACAAAGAGTCACCAAAAATAGGAATAACAAGTTGATTGCTGTTTTCCAGTTCGGAATTGAATGTATTTTAATATTCCTTTGGCCTCTTAACTGCGCGCCCTGCGCGCGTGCGTGCGACAGGTAACTCTTCCGCCTCCGAATTTGAGCCCTCATTCTCTTCCACTCCTCCCACCTCGATCACTTCCTCAACAGCCTCTGTCTCTTCAGCTGCTTGATGTGGCTCTGAAATAGCATCACCAGCCACTAGAGCCTCGGCTAATGTCATGAACTTCCTGTTGGGATTCGGTATCGCCTTTCTCTTCTTGCCTCTGCTCAACCGCCCGACTTCCTCCTCTAAACTGGCTACTCTCGAGCTTAGGGACGCGATCTTTGACTCTTGCGCTTCAAATCCTTTTGATATCACAGAATACCGTCTTCTTGTTGAAGGGCTCTTGTTCTTCCCCAGGTCCCTGATGTGACGGCTGGTCTTTGGCGTATTATCAGAGTCGACTTGCCCGTCCCTGTGGCCGTCTGATGCAGGCGTCGATTCCTTCTTGTCTGGCTGAATCTCAGGATGCATGAGCGCTTTCCGTCGTGAAATCGGCCAGTTTCCAGTCACTCTCCAGCCCGAAAGGATGTTTTTCTTCGTCATACCCACTTCCCTAGCTTTCGCATAAGCCTTGATGAAGTTAACCTTATCCACCGGCGCAGAATCAGTCAGGCTTGTTAGTTTTTGGAGTTCTTTACGGTAAGCAGCTTTGGAGGCATTGAACACGCCATTGTCAAGTGGCTGTAGGCCGTGAGAGCAATGGGCTGGCAAGTAACAACAATAGACGTTGTTCAAAAAGCACGTAGCCATCCACTCATCCTGGATTTAGGGTCAGCGGCACTTTCGGTTCAGGAGGTTCAGGGCAGGCATATACTCACAGATACATGGCTTCGATGACCATCTAATATAATAAGCCTTGCATCGGACTCATCTTCCGGTTGTGTTTGGGGAAGATAGACCTCTCTGAGCCACTCAATTGCGATATGGTTGTCTGTCCAGCCGTTGTCGGACGTGATATAATACCAGTCGGCCACCTCCTTGAGCTCATCGATAAACCACTGTTGTTGAAGTTCTTTGCCTTTAAAGATAATCCCTGGTTTCAGAAGACGGCCAGTTGCAGTCACGGCTTCGAGAAAGCTAGTCCAAGTGCGGGACTGGGAACCTTTAAGGAAGGCCTTCTTCCTGGGATCGCTACTGCCAACAACCAAAGAATCCAAGCCTTGATTCGCAATGAATTAGCTCAATTAATGGTCAGAACGATAGATACTCACCAAATCCGGCCATTATGCCGCCCTCATCAACGTTAACCGTGTTCTCAGGCTTGATCCAGCCGTACTCTCTCTCCCGAATATCAAAGTACCAATTGACGGCGGTCGGAGTAAAACAATTGAACCTCGACGCCTCCTGCCGTTTTCCTATCTTTGTCTTTATGGATGGATGCCGTTTCATGAACCTGGCTAGCCAGTGTACACCGACAGGCTTTTCCCTTCCTTGTTGTCGTAAGAGGGCATTAACGGTGGCGCGAACTTGACTGTGAGAGGGAGCATAGCCTAAGGCCTCTTGCCGAAGTATCCATGCGACTAATCTAGACTCCTCAGGTTTGGATAACAGCTGGGCAGGTTGTGTGACCTCTGACCTTGACGGTAGGCCCCTTAATCGGTCCCCGAGAGTCGACCGAGGGATCTCACGTTTCTGGGCGGATTTGCTCTGCGAGAGGCGGTTATCTGTGACATCTAACATTGCTTCAGCAACTTCATCCTCTGTATAAGACACGCGTGGCATTTTTAAGGCGAATATTAGAGGCTGGCGTCGGGAACAATGGAAGGAGCGTCGGGGAGGCTGGGTGTCAAACGAGACGTTTTGACAAATTTTACATTAGTCCCGTGCGACCATACTGCATACGTAATCAAAAAAGCAATGTGATGATGTCAGACGGAACGAATTTCCCAATACAACAGACATTGTTCCATGCCAATAACTTCAATTCTGATCAATTACTGTGTAAGTGAAATTGGGCATTTTGTATGGGGAAACTTTTTTTTTGCGTGCCGGTAGGTGGGTGCTGCCGGTAGGTGGGTACTGCATGGTAGATGAGGAGGGTTCGGTGGAGATTGAGGAGATCTTGGCGTCGCTCAACCAAGGACAAGACATTCCGAATGGCGGGATTGAATTTCTGGGGCCGAACGAAGATGAAGGACGCGACCAGGGCAAGAGCGAGTCCGAGAAGTTAGGGAAGCCGATCAACGAGGTCACCTCGTCGGGCATGTTTGCTCTGGATGCAGCGCCGGATGTAGCGGATGTGGAGAAGCTCTTGTTCGCCTGCAACGTCGTGAACGGAGATGCGGCCGGTAACGCCAACACGAGGCCGAGAACAGGGTTGGGATCGGTGGCAAGGCGGCGACGACAAGTTGACGCCTGTGAATCGTACATTCATGTTTCTCGCGGGGATGAATTCGCCGACTCATTCGATGCCTCGTTCTTCGCCAAGACCTTCCCTACACTGCTACCGTTCGGCGTCGGAGGGCCACGGCTGGTCGAAGAAGCCACCCTAGGCGCGGAAGGAGATGCCGATAGGTACGGGGCAGAAGCGGCGGCCCAAGACCTCATTTCATCCCGGAACATGAGTCTGCGAGCGTGGGCCGACGTAGTGTTGCGGCGCCACGGTGGTCGGTTTGCGACGCACCACATATTTGCATTTCTTGTGTTCAACATGAGCGTGCGGTCGAAGAACCGGCGCGTCAGCATGCTAAGCGTGACGAGAAAAAATTTCCGAAAGGCAGAGGGCATTATACGGTCGCTGTCCGCAGAGAGGTTAGCAGCGGCGAGGGTCGAGTTGGAGAGCTCAGGCAAAACGACCGATGAGGCTGTGAAGGAGCTTCTGAGAAGCCTTTCCCTGTACGGCTACCGGCAGCCTATGTCCAGAGAAAGCCGCTTGAGTATGCGGCGGAAGATACAGTCGCTAATCCTCTGCTATGGCGTACCGGCGATCTGGTTCACGCTCAACCCGAACGATATTACGAATCCGGTGAAGCTGCGGCTTGCAGCATACCGCACCCGTGAACCTGATGCGGCCGAGGCTTTCTTGAAGAGCCTCGACATGTCGTACAAACGTGTGCGGCTGGCCATTTCGGACCCCATGAGCTCGGCCATCTTCTTCCACCGAGAGATGACGTTATTCTTTGAGCATTATGTAAAAGTGGGAGGGGAGTCAGTATTTGGGCGCATCAGCCATTATTACGGTGCCGTGGAGACCAACGAACGAGGAGCGCTTCACATCCACGGGTTGCTTTGGTTGCATGGGAACTCGCATTTGAGCTCGATGGCTGCCGATACCGAGGGCGAGGACCAAGCCATGTGCCGTGACCGCATCATCCAATACATAGATAGTGTCTTCTCCGAGGTATGGCCCGAGATGAGTTGCTGACAATATAATAGTCGAGCGAGGCTAAACTGATATGCAATCTAGGACCTGGACCAGGAAGCGTTTTACGCCGTCCAAGCGGAGCGATCGGTAACATCGGATATCTCGTCCCTGCTGGGCAATAGGGAGCAGTTTTCGGCCGCATTTGATGAGGAAGCCAACTTTTGTGCCGGCGCAACACAGATCCATACTCACAGCCCAACTTGTGTCAAGTATTCCTTGAGCAAGGACAAAAGAGCAACGAAGCGTGGCCTTTGTCGGTTTCAGGCGCCGTGGAGACTAGTCGAGAAGACTGCTTTTACGGCAGATGGCGTGTTGCATATCCGCAGGAGGCATAGCATGGTCAATCGGTGGAACAAGGCCATCGCCGTGGGGCTCCGCCATAATCACGATATCTCCTTCATAGCGACGCAGCGGAAGACCATGGCCCTTGTCTATTACGTCACGAACTATGCGACCAAAGTAGAGGACCCGGTGTGGAAGCGTGTGGTTGCCGCAGCAGAACTGCTGCCCCTCGTCTCAGCGGCCGGTGGAACGGAGGATCGTGGGGAGGATCGTGGAAGCAATGCCGCGGGTGACGACGGTGCGGGGAATAGGACGCGACAGTTCTTGATGAGGGTGGCGAACCGCGTGTTCACGGAGCGTTCTTTATCGCAGGTCGAGGTCGTTGCACATCTTCTGGGATACCCGACCGAGTTCAGTAATAGCAGCACCTGGACGTTCCTGAACGTCTCTCTGCTCTACTGGCATGTCTTCCGACGATGGCGACACCTCCGGCAAGAGAGCGGGACCGAGGTTGCAAACGATTCCGCGGACGAGTCGATAGTTGTGGAAGAAGCAGGTGAAAGGATTAGCTATGCTGAGGCATACCAGCACCGGGGAGACGTTTTGCGAAGCCTATGCCTCTATGACTATGTTTCGCTCGTCAGACTCAAACGAGTCAGTAAAGATGAGATCCCTGCCGCTTGGGGAGAGGTGTCATTCGAGAGCGAGTGGGGTCCTGGAAGAGGCTGGTTGCAGGTGCTGAGACGGCCGGGAAAGCACGCCAGCGTCTGCCTTGATGGCTACCTGAGCAAGGATTTCGATCAGGATGACGAAGAGTTGTGCTATCGAAGGTGGGTCTGCCGCCGCCGACAGAGTGTAAAGGTCGTGTCGAAGAGGCTAACCTCCATGTGCTGGAAGAGCAGCGGTGCAGCACCTTGCGCTATTTGTGCCATGGGAGTCTTTTCTGTGCCGAGAAACGGACGACATCAACAGCATATGGGCGCGGGCACGAGAGGCGCTGCCTCCTAGAATATCATGCCTCGTTGATAATGTGCAACTGCTCCGACGATCGGCTGAAGACGCAAAACGCGACGCCCGGCAATGGGCAGCGTCATCTGGCGACGGTGAACTCACGGCCACACATGCCCACCAGGACAGGGCAGGCGAGGCGAGTGAAGAAGCCACATCGGCGTACCAGTCTGACAGCGTCGGAAATGCAATTCGTCTGATTGATGTTGTGAGGGGTGCAGTTGGTGCGGCCCAGATCACGGCGGGCTCGCCAGAGCTCATGGGAATGATGCAGCAGCTTTGTCACTTTCAGCAATCAGCATTATGCTCGACTGTTGAGCTCCAGGCCACCATAACACCCGAACCGGGGGAAAGACGGATAAGCATACGAGGGAACCGATTTTCCGGGGTCGTAGTACCACCACAGGGCCAGGTCAAGGCCATCAAGTCGCAGCAGATCTGTGCGTCCAGAGAGAGGGAGAAAATGATCCAGGGTATACAAAGTACCGTCGCGGCCCACGGGACCGATCGCAGCGCAGTAGTACAGAGTTTGCTCACCGGTTTTGGAGAGGAGGATATCCAAATGACGGCGGCGGATTTGGAAGGGACGGCAGTCCATGCAAGTCCGAGCATGGAAGTCCACTTTGGTGCATCGACGTCTTTCCTCGAGGCGGGAAAGGCTCTGGTAGCGCGGTTTACACTGAATAAGAGGCAGGTGATCGCTTTCCTTATACTATGCCGCCAACTCGACCTGATACATCGTGGGGAGAAAAGGGAGAAAAGTGATATCAGTCAGCTCTGCCAGTTCGTCGGCGGAGAGGGCGGAACCGGCAAGTCGAGAGTCATTGAGGCGCTAGTCGAGCTCTTTGCATCAAAGGGCATTTCGAACCGCCTGTTGATCACAGCGACGTCAGGGACTGCCGCAGCGCGGATCAACGGCATCACAATCCACTCAGCCTGCGGGTTCTCCAAGGACCAAGCGGCGGGCGCGAACTTGGCCAAAGATCTCGACGGCGTGCGATTGCCGAAACAGGCGGAGCGATTTGTCCATGGACAGTCGCGAATGGACTGGCAGGACAAGGCAATGTTGGTTATCGATGAGGTGAGCATGCTCGGAGCTCGGACGCTGTACGCCGTGAATGAGCAGCTCTGCAGGCTGCGCGGATCGCAGCAGGATTTTGGGGGCATACCCATCGTTCTCTTCTGCGGAGACTTCCACCAGTTTCGTCCTGTACAGGAAAGGTCGATCCTTCTTCCCAGTATGGCCGTCTCATGGGACGAAGACAACTCGTTCAAGGCCGAGCAACGGCACCAGCATGACAAGGCGCACGCGCTGTGGAAGAAGTTCACGACGGTTGTCATGCTGGATGAACAAGTGCGTGCGGCAGGAGATCCGGTTTTGCAGAGACTGCTGAAGCGGATCCGACTGGGTGTGCAGGATCGCACGGATTTAGAACTGCTCAACTCAAGGTGCTACCGGGAGGATAGGTGGATCCCATGGGAGACGGGCATCACCGTGGTGACACCACTGAATAGGGACCGATGGAACCTAAATATGGAGGCAACCTTGGCGTTCCAGATCCTGCAGCGGTCAATAATGCGAATCTTCATCTCCGAGCACAAATGGAAGGATGGCCTGCCGACGGAGGAAGAAGCCATCATGATGCTAAACCAGGGCGACGATAGCGCGATACCGGTACCAGCCATCTTCATGTTCGTGCCGGGGATTCCTGTCGTTGTGAACCACAATACCCACCAAGGGCTGAAGTTGGTCAACGGTGCCAGCTACACTGCTCTGGAGGTCATCCTCGACGAGACCCACCCGGGCCATCGGATCTCGGCCGATATGACGGTCCACTTCGGGCCGCCAGCGGGGATAATCTTAGAGTCAGAGACAACAAAGGATATCCACTTCGTCGGGATGCCGTCCGGCACGGTTCTCTTGACGCCCATGAGCGTTAGAATCCAATGCCAGCGAAAGAGGCCGTGGCAGCGCAACGACGTCAGCCGGAAGGGTTTGCCGTGCGCGGCGGCTTTTGCGTGCACAGACTACAAGGTGCAGGGCAGGACGCTCGAGCGCGTAGCACTGGAGTTGCGCGGGACGAGGACGACGAATGTCGACGGACGCATCGTCCCCTCGCAGTGCGACCCGTACAGCCTGTATGTGCAGCTGTCGCGATGCTCGTCGCTGGATGGCATTATGCTCGTGTCTAAGGTACGGGAGAGAGACTTGGTGGGCAACCGCGTCCCCCCGGAGATGACTGCCGCGCAGGCGAGACTGGAGGAACTGAGCAATAGGACCATTCGGGAGGCCATGCGCTGGTTGGACGACGATTCCCAAGGCTAGGGGGCCTGCGTTCGGCGACGTTGTCGAGACGAAATGGGAGAGGGGAGAGGGGAGAGGGCGGGGAAGCGTTACAGGAAGCGTTATAGGATAGGAAAAGCGGGAGGGCTCTTCTGGAAGACACAAACGGTCTCCTCTCCTCGTCACGCGTTCGAGCCAAAGCCAGACGGGTCGAACAGGCACGCACAAAGGAAGAGCTGGACGGACGCAAACCACCAATCACAAAGGCTGTTCAAAGTTTTAAAGGTCGCGGGGCGAAGCTGGCACCCAGCGTTTTAATTAGTTCCCAGCGGTTTTAGTTTTGACCAATGGAAAGCGAGCATTCCGACCCTGAGCGGCGGGTGGGGCATAAGGGCCTTTCGTTCCTCAAGGCACGTTCCTCAAGGCATGAGCCAATACCGCCAGGGCTTGAGCCGGATGACACCCCAGTCGACTCCACAACGACGTCCTAAAACAGCTAGACTTTGTCTTGGGCAATGCTTGACTGAACAGCAAAGCAAAGAAGATATATGTCCAGGTAGATGAACGAATGAATTTCATGAAAACACCGTTCATGGACATCGATATGTCACAGAGAACAATGCAGACTTTGTCACATTTCGCAGCGCGGTCAAGTAAATATATCGTACTCCCGAGGATTCATTTTGATAATGGGTGAAAATTTCTTCATATCCTAGATCGCTATGAATTTCGGTTCGTTTTGGCCTGTCACGTTGCCCGCCTTTTATCTTACCCTAGAGCGTTGCGTCGCATCTCTGGGCTCTTTGGAAGTCAACTCTCTCCTGTAAAAACTTTTTCTTTGCACCCGCTGGTAGCGCTCTGCTAGAGCAGAAAGTTTTTACAGGCCCTAACAGCTGCCTGAAGAAAGGGATTCAGAGAGTTGTCCTTTCTTCGTGACAGGTGTCTTCAACGACACTGAGCTTCGCGAGCTCTTGACATCGCCTCCGGGCGCTACTCGTTGGCTAGCCAACGAGTATTCCGTCTGGCTTATTTATCGCCTTTCCCCCCTAGCCTGTACTTAAGTAGATTAGGTCTTGGTGATTCTTCCAAGCCAGTCTCCTCCTATTCGCAAGTATTAGCGTTGTTCCCTCATTGTGAAGCCCGCTTCTGAATCACTCCGTAATTTAACGGCATACCATGCAGCGATTCCTGCGCTTTGACATCCAGCATAACGGGATACTGTTTTAGACATCAATTGCAGTGTTTCTCAGCCGCCGCTCCTTCTGCTTCAGTTATAGCACAAGACTAAACAATTGTTTCTTACAGGTAGATATATATATATATCTTAAATAACTACCAAGCTTTCGCACCTCAGTTAACCATGCTCGATCGGTAGGTTAATCCAAATCCATGTCTGTTGTGAAAGTTGATCCTTGCCAAACGGTTCATAGTTTGCTCATAAAGCTTTCGGGGTAGTTGGAGCTGGTTGGATAATATAACATCTCTATGCCTTTCAGTTAGAGCCCACCAATTTAATTCTATTGTTGCCCTTGGCTAAGTACCTACGGCATATGCTACCTACAGAAGTTATTCCCTGATAAATGACAGACTTTTTATCAAAGCGCTGCAAGCTAGTCCGTTCATGGGATGGTTAGTCTCATAGGCGGGCATGGTCGACATGCTTAGATCGATAGTTTGCCGCCACGTCGGTTGGCTGAGATCTGAGTGCTATCGCAAAAAGTCGACCGAGGCTGGGGAAGCCTGATGGGAAGAGGGCATAAAAGGTTAGGGAGAAAGCTAGGTAGTGAAATACGTGCGCACATATATTAACACCCACGCCGCATTTCCGTGAAAATCTAATAACCTTGCTTTTCTTTTTTATAGGTAATTGCCGTCATGATTGAGTCAACGTCCCCTTTTATCGCATCATCAATCCCTCTACTGCACATTGCAGTAAAATCCATACTATTCAAATTCGCAGAGGTTTTCATGGCGCTATTTGTCTACAAGCTCTTCTCCCTCCTTGCGGCGCTGTCTAATCAATTTACATCATATCTTATGTTCGCCGAAGATTACATTCAACGCTGGCACTTCCTCTCATCCAGTGGCATCTCCCGCGCCAGCTTTATTGTTCTCCTCTTTACCATTCTCAGCACGCTTGCGTCCCTCTACGGAACCCTACTCTGGGCGTTAGACGCTCCAGGCTACATTTTTAAGACATCCAATGTGACAGTTGCCCAATATGAGACTTGGCGCAACCAGGATGCCCCTTACATCATTCAGTTGCATCTTGATCCCAGTACCCTACAAAGGACGGAGGAAACGCTCGCACAGATTGTGGGATCTGAGCTTTTTAAACCGGGCCTGAACTACACTTTGACTGGTGAAGTTCGAAGAGGATCTCCCGAAATCACGACACCGACGCGATCTCATGACGTCGGAGCGCGAATCTGGCTTGATGAAGATGGATTCTCAGTTTCGCCGGATAGTCTTGCTCCGTATCCACAATCAGCTGCCGACAATGGGGAAGAGTTCCCTTATAAGTGCATACACTTCGGAGGAGGCTCGGCTCACTGGAATTGCACCTACAGGAGCTGGAGATTCGTGGAAGATATAATAGACAAAGTCGTTGGGGAACCCGAAATACACTGGGACGACCAGTCGGACATCAATTTCGATTCAAGATATATCGCTCCAAATAGAGCCGACAACGTTTGGTCTTCTTGGGGGCGAGGAGGTGGTTCTACGGCTATGATGCAGGTCTTTACCGTTACCAAGGGGACGAGACGTCATACATTTGTTGCGTATGTTTCTCGCGCTACTATTTCCGGACTTTCATTAGCTGCGCAGCATGTTAGAGATTGGGGACATCGGACATGGGGCATGAAGGAGTCGGAGAGGAACAACCTGCTCATTGACCAGATTGTGGAAGATATCATGGGCGCACAGGGCCAAGATATCAGCTACCATTTCGGAGTCAACGCAGCCGATAACAGGAATCTCACGGTGCTTCAGTCTAGCTGGTTCTACTTTAATGGCATGGTCGTCTTCTCATCGGTTAATATTACGCTGATAAGATCTGAAACTATCGACAAACAGATAATACCATTTGAGAAATGCGCCCGTGGATCATTCCAGAATGAAGCGTTTGGTGGAAGGGTCACACAGACTGATTGCGGCGGATCTACAACCGATGACAATAGTCACATGTTCTTCGGCCAGGTAGACACTGCCGCTGTTCTGATAATACAGGGCCTCGGCAATGGCCGGTCCAATATCAGCTCTGAGTCCCTCAACGACAGCGTCATGTCCTGGACTCGGAACATGTCGGCCGCGATGGAAGGCCTGCTTGTCGCAAGGGGCTATATAGTCAGCATCGATCCAGCTCTGGTTATGATCAGTGTTGATAATCTGACAGTTGCTATATCTGGCCTGCAGCTCCTTCTAAGCATCCTTGCTCTGATTCTCGCGGGAGCTGCATGGCTTGCGCTGGCCTTCTTCACGGATTCACATTGGTCTAACACGTTCTTAGCAGACTTAGTATATGCTATATCAGAAAGGGATGGGAAAAGGTCGAGACCTGGATATATGCGCGACCCTCCCAGTGTTGAAGTAATAGGTTATAGGGATGAGCATTTTATTGCGGTCTCTGGGAAGGTAGTTACTCTTCAAAACTGAGCCCCAGCTTATACCAGGTTATTAAATAAAGGACCTGAGGAATATTACTAAGGGAAAACTAGCTAAATTTAATTAAGTGAAAAGTACAGAGGTTAAAGCTAAAAATCCATATTAAAGGGGACTTCATTTTGGCAGCAATTCGATCTATACTGAATTATAAAAGTGATTGATTAAATTCAGATAACTATATATTTACTGCCAGATCTATTTCATAAGCTACAAGTTCTAGGGGGGAATTAAGGCATTTTGCTACTTTCTAGGCCTCTCTACCTAACACTTGTGGAGTAGTGTGTCTCAGATTGAAGGTCTACCTAGTGAACCTTCCTCGTCTTCGTGTAGGACCGGAAAGATGGACACGTGGACCGGACTGAATACAGACTAGCGTTACACAGCAGTTGTGGCTGGCTGAATGCTCGGAAGTCTCGGACCATCCCCCATTCGAACTCAATCCCCGCCTTTTGATGCCATCCCAACATCGTGACTCGTCGCACTCGTTGATTTACGGCGCACACATAGCGAGACAACCTGACAAGCTTCACGCCAATCATGGTTTATATTAAATAAGTAGCCCCTAAATGCAACATCCTAGACTAACTCACCGCTTTGCCGTACACCCCACCACCCCGCACACTTGTGATAGCATCACTTCATTAAATGTAACTGACTTTAAATAATTCTACAATTATGTGTATTGATTCAATTGAGCTGAGATTTTGCATACTGCTTAGGAGACATATATTGTATCTGCGTTATTTTCTTCGGCTGCGTTTTCGGCCTTTTTCTTCGCCTTTTCTTTCAAATTGTGTAGTACATTCTTTTCAGCTCGATCCCTCGCCGAGATGATGTTGTCAATTGAAGGGAAAGCTCCATTTGGGTCAAATTGAACTGTGACTCGGCCGGTAGGTTCTTTTGCCGCCGCTGAAGCTTTCAAAACAGCTTTTTCCTCTTCAAGGCGTTGGATTTGACTGTTTTTGTTGTCAGGGTGTAACGACGGAATCACCTCCCTTCCCCGGACCCTATGCCACGTCAGATTATGTTGCTTGAAACATCAAGGTCATTTGGTCAACGATCAACGCTCGGGCCTCCTTCGAGTATGACAATTGGTGGGAGACCCCCTGCAAACTTGCAGTTAGCCACCTTAGCTCGACAGAGGCAATGCGCAATATGGCTGGCAAAGTGCATAGCTGCGTCAGCGTTGCCGCAGTTTTAAGTTCAGGCAGCAATAGTTTAATAACCTTTGAGAAATCTAAGTTAAAAAACTGCCGTATCTTGCCGGTTTCATCCACCTTATCTGTCGCCATACTTAAAGCGATTCGTTGGTATTTATCATAAGGCGAGGGAGAATGCTCGGTTACGGCCAACACCTGTAATTCAGCAGGACGTTTCTTCTTTGAGGGCGAATCCGTAATACAGATCACCTAGTCAGGACTCACGGATCTCCGCGGAGCGGGCCGGTTTGCCCAACAACTTGACCAGGGTGGCGATCAACTCAATCTGGGGTGTTGATTGGGTTGAAGCAGGGGGTGGCACGGTGTGTTTTATGGGGCGTGCACGCTCGCACGGTTCACTAGTGCATCCTTTGTCCACCAGATGTGTGATTGAATTGAATTGATCGCCTGCCTGGAACTTGCCAGCCAATGATTGCCCATTCAAGCCCGTGCTTTCGAATTGCCCGCCTGTATTTGTTAGTTTCTGGCAAGTGCCATTGCACGCCCTATGGCCCTGTGCATTAGCTACATGGTCAGCTGCCCGCTATTAAACCCTGTGTACGGAGGCGCATGTTTCGAAGTCTGCTTTTGTCAGATATAAACCACTCATGCATTGCTCTAAGTGGGGATTCCCATTTTTGTGGCATGTGGTGTAGTTGGTAAAATCTAACAGCTTTGCTCACCCCATCGAGAGGGCTGTTGGGTCAAGCAAGCTGTATTTAAGCCTTCGACAGGGCTTGGATCAAAACCGAAACGGTAATAACGTACATGATAAGCCAGTGGATCAGCATACTGTGCAGCTAAAAATAGCCTACCCATAACACTTCAAAGCTAAATAAAATAGCTAAAAACGTAAAATAATGACAATTAATAATAGTATAACGTGTTTGATAAGCATGCGCCGCAGACAAGTATGCGCCGCATGTCACAGCTCGAGACCAGACTGGCCTACCCTAGACCACTAACAAGGTAGATCCGGATCACGTGGCGATACGTTATCGCAGAGACTTTGTTTACCGACCAGATAGTTCCTGAACGTAGCTCCTCGAGCTACGTCTTGTCAATAGAGCCTGACCTGCCTGCAGTGCCTATCCGTAGCAATAGATCATATTCCGCCTGAAGCGTTCCCCGTTCACCTGTATACCGAGCCCAGCCCGTGACACTACGTAGCTCCTTCCAATTGGACGCCGAACGCCATGCCCGCTCACCCGACCCCCCGACTCTCCCAAGAGACCGCGCCGAGTTCGAAGCGCACTATGCCAAGGACCCAGATCAATGGTTCCAATATCTAAGCGACGCCTATACTTGGATGGAGGAACAGGAAGCAAACCAAACCACCGTCGACAGGAAGCTTGTGGAATTACAAGTTCAAGTCGAGGCCTTACAAGAAGAACTGCAACTGTCCCAGGCAAGAGGCGCAGAGGCCACTTCCCAGAAGAACTGGATCGTAGAAAGACTGGATGCCAAGGAAAAAGAACTAGCAGTTGTCCGGCTCGAGCTTTACAAGGCTCAGACCGCTGCATTCCCTACTGTAGCTTCCCTAACACCTACTATCAATCCTGACCCTGTAGCTAAAGACCGGGTAGCTGAGACTGTGGGAGCGCCTCTATCGCCTGTTACGCGGTCTACCGCCTCCGCCCAGCTTTCAGAACGAATTCCCGACCCTGACAAGTTTAAAGCTACCCGCGCAGACTTACGCCGCTTCCACAACGCAATCACTGAGAAGCTAACCGTTAACCGAGACCGCTACCCAACTGCTGTAAGCCGTATGGCTTATGTGAATAGCCGACTGAACGACGAATCATATAAACTCATACAGCCCTATATCCGCCATGGAACCTGCCGCCTGCCCGATTACTACGATATACTGGATATACTCCATAAGGCCTATGGAGACCCTAATGAAGCCCGAACCGCCCGCCGCAAACTGGACACTATCAGACAGAGAGACAGAGACTTCGCCACATTCTATGCAGAATTCCAATGCCTCAGCCTTGACAGTGGCCTCGACGACAATGCCCTAGCGCCATTCCTCGAGAAGGCCATATCCGGAGAACTCTACGATATGCTTCTCACCAATCCCCCTACTGACTACAACTATCACACACTGGTTACGCATTTCCAAAACCTCGACATCCGCCTGCAGGAACACCGTGAAGGGAACAGGCTACGGTTCCCCTTCAAGAAGCCCGCCCAAGGACCCGGAAAAGTGGTAACACCCCTCAGACAGGAAGCACGGAAGATCAAGTCCTCTTCCCCCCGGAGAGGCCGAAGCCCCCCAGAGAACCGCCAGCCCGCAGGAGACCCTATGGACCTGAGCCAACAGCGCCGCTATAACCGCCCGAACTACCGCAGAGAAAATAACCAGTGCTTCCGTTGCGGTTCGTCTAACCACTACCTCCGTGATTGCCCTGAACCCGACACCCGACCTGCCAAATTCCGAAATGCCGCTATTCCCCAGAGCCCTTACCGCTATAGCCGTCGTTCTTCCCCGAAATCCCCGACTTCGAACCGGTCCGACTCCTGTGGCTCGCAAAGGCACCAGGAAAACGGAGCGAGCCTGTCTTAAGTCGGCGCCAGGCTCCCGCCTCCCCACTAACCGCATTGAAAATCAAACTATCTGCCGCCTCTATCCACGGAATCCCAGTTGAAGATGAAGGGAACCAACGTTCCAACTTAATGATTTTACCTGCTAACCTAATATCGACTGGAAAGGAACCAATACCTTCTTACGCTATGACAGATAGCGGAGCAGAAGGGAAAGGATTCATTGACGAAAGCTGGGCTAAGTCCCAGAACCTGCAATTCCGCCCCCTGAAGAGGCCTTTCGAAATAGAAGTATTCGATGGCCGCCCTGCCGAGAGTGGACAGATCACCCACTACGTCCGTGCCGGACTCCGTATCGCCGACCACTACCAGAAGAATATGTTATTCTACGTCACCCGGCTAGCCAGCTATCCTATAGTCTTAGGAATGCCCTGGCTAAAACAACACGACCCGCAGGTGGGCTTTGCAGCCCACACCTTCACCTTTAATAGTCCCTACTGCCAGAAGTTCTGTAATACACCAGCCAAGCCCACAAAAATCAAAGCCCTACAGACCGTCCCAAAGAAATTCCTCCGCCAGCTAGAACAGAACATTCCCCAAAGCCTGAGGCGGAAGGATATCCTCCCTATAACCCTACAAGCTGTCAGACTATATAGCCGGAGAACCCGCTGTCGCTTCTTCACTGTCACCCTGGAACAGATAGACAGAGCATTACAGAATAAGAGTGAGGATCTGAGACTGCCCGAGGAACTACGAGAGTTCCAGGACGTATTTTCGCCCAAAGAAGCAGAGAAGCTACCTCCGCACCGAGCCGGAGATCACCACATTGAACTGATACCCGGAGGGAAGCTGCCCTTCGGCCCGCTATATGGAATGTCCCGAGAAGAGTTGACAGCTCTACGAGAGTGGCTCGATGAGAACCTGCGCAAAGGATTCATCCGACCTAGCTCTTCACCCGTCGCCTCCCCAGTGCTGTTTGTCAAGAAGCCAGGCGGCGGGCTACGATTCTGCGTGGACTACAGGGCCCTGAATAATATCACCGTAAAGGACCGCTACCCGTTACCCCTGATCAAGGAATCCCTGAACAACCTGTCCGGCATGAAGTACTTCTCCCGCATAGATATTGTATCCGCTTTTAACAACCTCCGGATCGAGAAGGGCCAAGAATACCTCACGGCCTTCCGGACCCGTTTCGGATTATATGAGTCCCTGGTCATGCCCTTCGGCCTGACAGGAGCCCCTGCAACGTTTCAACGTTATATTAACGACGCTCTGCGAGAGCACCTGGATATATTCTGTACAGCTTACTTAGACGACATCCTGATTTACAGCCGGACCCGGGAGGAGCACATAGAGCACCTCAAGTTGGTGCTCCAGAGGCTGAGATCCGCTGGGCTCTTCGCAAACCCATCGAAGTGCGAATTCCTAGTGAAA